CAAAACGTATTACAAAGCTAAGGTAATTAAAAGAGTTTGGTATTGGCATAAAGACGGACACATAAGCCAATGGAATGGAATACAGAGCCCAGAAATAAGCTTTCATATGTAGACAAAAGATTTTTGACAAGGAAATTTATTTCCTTGACCATTCATTGGAGAAAGAACAGCCTGTTCAACAAATACTGTTGTGAAAACTGTGTATCTACATGCAGAAAAGATTAAAGTTGGATCCCTACCTTGCACCACATACAAAATTAAGTCAGAATGGTTTGCAAATCTACATGTAAGAGCTGAAACTATAAAACTCTTAGAAGAAAACACAAGTAAAATCTTAAGTAAAGTAAAATACTGGATTTTACTGGATGAAATACTGGATTTTACTGGATAAAATACTGGATTAAGTAAAATAATGGATTTAGCAATGGTTTCCTGGAGGACACTGAAACCAGAGGTACCAAAAAACAAAACAAAACAAAAACCCTGGATAAATTAGAGTTCATCAAAATGAAAACTTTTGCATATCAAAGGACACTATCAGAATGAAAAGACAATCCACTGAATAAGAGAAACTACTTGCACATCACATATCTGATATGAGGTTAGATTGATACACAGAACATATAAAGAACTCTCACAATTCAACAACAAAATCAAACAACCTGATTTAAAAATGGACAAAGGACCTGAATAGACATTTCTCTAAAGATGATACACGAATATGAGCAAGCACATGAAAAGATGTTCAACATCTCTGATCATTAGGGATAGGCAAATCAAAACCAAAATGAGATACCACCTCATACTCATTAGGATGGCTTTTATAAGCAAACAAAACTCCGGGAAGTAATAAGTGTTGGCAAAGATGTTGAACTATTGGAACACTTGCGCCTTGTGGTGGGAATGTAAAAACTTTTAGCTTTTCTGTGAAATAGCATGGCAGTTCGTCAAATAATTAAAAATGGAATTATCACATGACACAACAATTCTACATCTGGAGCTACATCCAAAAGAAATGACAACAGGAAGGCTAACAGATACTTGTATGCTAGTGTTCATAATAGCATTATTCCTAATACCAAATGGTGGGAGCAACCCAAATATCCTTTCAGAAGATGAATGGGTAAACAAAATGTGATATATACATGCAATGGAATATTATTTAGTTTCAAAGGGGAAACAAATTCTGACATATGCTGCCACATGGATGAACCTTGAGGACATAATACTAAGTGAAATAAGCAAGTCACAAAAGGACAAACACTGTGATTCCACTTACAGGAGGTATATCGAGTAGTCAAATCCATAGGGACAGAAAAGAATGGGGGGTTAGGGGGAGGAGAGAATGGGAAGTTGGAATTGAATGGAGTTTCAGTTGGAAAAAAAAACAAAAAGTTCTGGGGTTAGATGGAGGTAATGGTTGCATGACAACGTGACTGTATTTAATACCAGAGAACAGTATGCTTAAAAATGGTTAAAAGATAAATTTTATGTCGTGTAATATTTTGTCACAATTTTTCAGAAAGAGCAGGACTCATCCTTAAGACTACAACTGGGCCTCATGGATCTTTTAGGAGGAAGAGAGAAATGCATTATTAGTATAGGCCCAGGCAAAATTGTAATATAAATGGTTTGCTTTTAATATCTTCTGCCTTGCCCTTTTTAGACTTTCTTAATTCTTATATTTTCTCTGTCTTCTAAGAACTTTATATTGTGATCCATACCATACTTAATTCTGAGTTCTGTACCAATTTTTTTCACCAGTACCAATTTTTTTCACCATTACCAGTATTTAAAAGTTTATTCTATTCCTACTCATTTTCTCAGAAGTATGCCCTAAGTTAACCATCACCTGGGGATATAATTTGATGCTTTTCTTCCCATGAAGGTGTTAATGATTGACTCTAAGAAGAACTCTTCAGTGAATTTTAAATGAGAGAGTCTGGCACTATGGAAGACATTTTGGGGGGTAACTGGGCCTTCTGAGCAACCTCAGATCACAACATGGAGACACCCTCCCTCTTTGAGTACAGTACGTCCCACCTTTGGGATCACAAAATTGGAAAAATGAGTTCCACACATCAAAAAGCCCACGAACATGGATTCTACTGATAAATTTCTGCACACAGCTCCTCATTGTTCCCTATCTAGTTGAACTGTGGCCTTACTCAATACAATTTAGTGATGGCTGTGGTAGCAGAACTCTTAGGGCAGACAGATTTTAGCAAAGCAAATAGTTTCAGATTTGGATGTAGACATGTGGCATATGGAATTAAGAGGCAAGTCAGCGACAGTGCAAGAAACATGGTTCGAAGTGTTTTAAAATATAGCCCTCTGTAGGGGGAAAATAAATGGAAAATTTTCAGATGTGATTTTTGAATAATCCAGCCATTATTAGAAGTTTGTGGTTTTTACAAGAAATACTTGAAAATGTATGTTCATTAGAGTCATTTTATAACAAAAAGAATCCCTGTTGAGATTATTCAGAAGCAAAAAATGTTCTATTTAGCTATTTTTCTAGCTTTAACACTTCCAGAAATCATTATGATTATCTTTCTGTATTAAAAAGAACAAAACATTGTGAACGGAAGTCAACTAAGTAATTGTAATGCAAAGTGATTTCTTGGTATTTAAAAAATGTTTCACACTTATGTGAGAATATACGTATATTTCATACACATAATTGCTGAAATACGGTGATGAAAATAGTTTAGAATATTTTAGAATCACAAATAGATTGTTGTAAAAATTGCTAGGAACTACAGGACACTTGAAAATCTATTTATGCAGATACATGCATAACTAATTGAATGACATGCACACATCTATACAAATAATTATATAATTTAGTTCCTTTTTTTTTTTTTTTTTTGTTCAGCCAGATTCTCTGGATCACAAGAGGTCCATGAAGTAATAATTGGGATATTCCAGTTATTTTAAATATTTCAAAGAGGTTATGGTCATTGTAAATTTAGCCATGGTATGATTCCCAGACTAATCAAACTTTTTAGCTTTTGAATAGAATGACATCAGTTCAGTCTGGAAATACTGGTTGCCTTGGGCTGACTAGCGATTCTGATAGACCTCTGACTCTTAAGTTTTTGATCAGAATAGGAGAGTGCACTAATAATTGGGCCTCAGAACAGAGCTTTGAGTTCATGACCTGAAGTCAGAAAGAGACCTGGGTTCTAATCTTAGCCTCAACCCTCACTAGCTGTTCTATCTCAGACAAATTACTTTATGTCTGTAACACAGAGTTTAAGCTTCCTCACTTTAAAAAAAATTTTTTTAAATTTATTTATTTATTAGAGAGAGAGAGAGAGCATGAGGCGGTGGGGCAGAGGGAGAAACAGACTCCCCGTTGAGCAAGGATCCCAACATGGGGCTCGATCCTAGGACCCCAGGATCATGACCTCAGCCTAAGGCAGACAGTTAACTGACTGAGTCACCCAGGCCCCCAGCTTCTTCACTTTTAAAATGGAAAACAATGCCTGCTCCATACAGTTGTTGTAAGGAATCAATAAACAACCACAAGTAGAACGCCTAGCACGGAGCAAAGTACCTTGATAAATTGTAGCTATTAAGATTCTTGTTATTACAGAACAGAACTGGTCTATGGAATCTTTCAAAATAGGGGATCTAGGAGAAAAATAAATGAAATAGACCATTGGTAATAAAGCGAGTTTACTTAATATTGTTTAAAAGTGGTATTTCTAAATCAGCTTTCAGTACGCAGATGTATGATCTCAAGAGCACGCATCTGATATATTATTGTTAAATAATATTTTGTCCAAAATATGCTTAAGTAAAAATTATGATTTCCCGCATGGGTTGCCAAACGCTGCCTAACTGTTCCCCGGCATATTTACTCCTGCAGTGGCTAATGCAACCAGTCAGGGCAAGAACAAACTCGTCGAAGGCAAACCTCCACAGTTGTTAAGAACTATAACCCAGCACGGGCTATTTGTGGTCCAGATAACCTGTTTTTTAGAGAGTGACATTCGCAGATGTTGGATAATGAAATGAAGCCCGACCTCGTGGTTATTGTGAACAGATAAATGTCCAAATCCTTCAGCTTCTGCCAAGCTGCTCGGATCACTTAAAGCTGGGGAAAAGAGAAAAAGAGCCAGAAATTATCATTGTGATAAAAGCACCAAGAATTCCAAGAACACTGATATTTCACAGGAAGGTGCCCTGTTTAATTGCAGCGATGCATCACAGCCATGGATGGCTGGTCTCCAGTCAGAGGGTCCTCGGTGGTGTGCTCTGTCCACACGGGACATTCTGATATGCCTGGAAGCCTGGAATATCGAGGTGGAGCTGAAGATATAACCTGAATAATAATTCCTCATATTTGATGGTTCTAAGAGTTCTATTTTACATAAATTATATCATTAGATTCTCATAGCAACCGTTTGAGGGGGAGGGGGCCGGATGTCATTATTCCCATCTTACAAGGGAAGAAAAGGGCTTGCTATGGTTACATGGTTTAGTAGGCACTCAGGTAACAGGAGACAAAACCAGGATTAGGTCCTCCGTCTCCTGACCTCACGTGGCCTTCTTTCTGTTTGACCACACTGTGTTTTCTTTTTTTTTAAAGATTTTATTTATTTATTTGAAGAGAGAGATCGCAAGTAGGCAGAGAGGCACGCAGAGAGAGAGGGGGAAGCAGGCTCCCCACTTAGCAGAGAGCCCAACGCAGGGCTCGATCCCATGACCGGAGCCGAAGGCAGAGGTTTAACCCACTGAGCCTCCCAGCCCACCCCACCCCCCGACCATACTTGTTTTTGTGTGTGACAATTTATTAGAATGTCATCTGCAAAAAAGCTTTGCGTTAATAAAGTAGACGTAAAATGTGAAAAATAGTCCTTATGTTATTATGTTAATCTATATTTGTCATTTGTTGCTAAGCTTTTTTTTTTTTCTCCCTCCTACTCTTGTCTGATTTCTTAAGAAGCCAAATGGGGTTTTGAAAGCTACTTTCTTTTTTCTCTCATTAGGCTCCAATTATGAAAGATGTGATTTCGAGAATGGGCTCTGTAGTATGACACAAGATCAGGTTCTGCAACTTGGTTGGACAAGGAGAAATGGGATGACTGGTGTCTCACCTCCATTTTATGATCACAGCGGCAATACGTCTGGTAAACACTTTGAATTTCTTTCTCTCTTTTTCTTTCTTGTCAAGTGGTTGATTATGGCAGTAGAATATTGGCTGATATTTGGAAATCAATTATTATAATGCCTAATTTTATGCCTTCTTTAACTATTTTCAGGATGTTTATGATATAAAATATCACACTGGAGTCTCATAGTTGCATTCCTGGGATCCTGACAGTCTTATCTATAGAAAGATTGGGATTTTCTAGCTGTTTTGACTCCTTATGGAAAATGGAAAATCTATTATTTTTTTTTATTTTTATTTATTCATTTATTTGACAGAGATCACAAGTAGGCAGAGAGGCACACAGAGAGAGAGGGGGAAGCAGGCTCCCCACTTAGCAGAGAGCCCGACACAGGACTCGATCCCAGGACCCTGGGATCATGACCTGAGCCAAAGGCAGAGGCTTTAACCCACTGAGCCACCCAGGCACCCCGGAAAATGGAAAATTTAACATGATAATGCTACATAGGTTAATTCATCAAATTACTTTGCTTTTGGCTATACTGATTTCAGTATAAAACAACACTTGTTTTCTTAGGCTATCTAGGAAGCTCTAATGGACCTCTCATTAGCCTTTGAGGTGGCTCTGAAGCCAATCATTTATTGATTTCTTTACTTGATAACCAATGAACTTCATTCATTCACCATTTTGTACCAGGTGATTAAGATATTTTAGTGAGCAAAAATCAACTCTTTACCTTCCCTCGTCTGATGGGCTTACACATGACATGAAAAGAGGTAGTATATTGTGCGGCATAACTAATTGAAGGCTGGAGTTTTTTTTATAAAAGTGATGCTTCTCTCAAATAAAAACAACCTAATTTAAAATAGGAATATTTTCCCTAGAGATCATTGAAAGCAAGCCGCTGTTCAGGTATTAGGTGTTAATTGTTTAGAAATGTTTGCATAAATACTACATATGTAAATTAGAATCCTAGCTCCATCATTTCCTGGCTGTATGGTCTTGAGCAATTTACTTTTTTTTTTTTTTTAAGATTTGATTTATTTGACACAGAGAGATCACAAGTAGGCAGAGAGGCAGGCAGAGAGAGAGAGGAGGAAGTGGGCTCCCTGCTGAGGGGAGCTGGATGAGGCTGGATCCCAGGACCGCAGGGATCATGACCTGAGCAGAAGGTTAGAGGCTTTAACCCACTGAGCCACCCAGGCACCCTGCAATTTACTTTTTTCAAGCCACGATCTTCTCAACTCTGAGAGGGGGAATGATGATACTTAATTCATAGGTAGTTGATGTAAGAGCTAAATGAGATATTGTGGGTATAACTTGCCATAAAACATCTGACATTCAAGGAAAGTTGATATTTAGTACATTTCTGGATAATTTTGGTGTTCCTGACTCTAACTTCTAGGTAAGGGAACTGCAGTTTGTTATTTTGCTTGGCTTTGATGGCAAAAATACTTCTTAAAAGGACTTTTTGACAATTGTTAGGAATAAGCCAACCTTATCACAAACAAGGGATCAGCTTTTCAAGCAGGACCAATGACTTGCTGCAACACAGAAAATTTTTATGTGTGCGGTTACGCTACATGGTGATGATATTGAATCTGGTTCCCACCTTTTAGTTATTACAATACCTTGCAAATTGTTTGATTCTATGTATATCTCTCCTTTAGAACCTCCCCACTGCTTCTTTCTTTTACTTAAAAACTTTCACAGCATCCATTTACTTATCCTAGGCTTCGTCTTGGGCAGAATACCTGAAATTTTCTCCTTTTGTTGCATGTGGCTCTTTTTCTGTTCCTCTTGTATGTCCCATCATCTTCAAGTTAGACAACCAGACTCTGTCACTGTGCTTCCTGCTTCCCACTCTCCTTCCCTTCTTCCTCTCCTCTCTCTTTCCATTCTTTCTTCCTACTCTTTTCTCATTTTGTCATGCTGATTTTTTTTTGATAGCTGGTCAATAAATAAATTGGAAGCAGTTACATCAAAATTGAGATGTTTTATAGGCGGATATCACTGTAGCCGCATCACTTGGTTTGTGTTCCCATCTCTGAAGTCAAACTAGATGGGTTTGAACCCTGGCACGTCAACCTGCTAGTTCCGTGGTCTCAGTTTCCTCATCTGTAAAGTGGGAATAATAATAAGACCAGCTTCATAGGGAGAACAGGGCAAAATATTGTCTGGCATAATTATTGAAGGCTGGTGATTTTAATAATAGAGATGCATCTCTTGTAACTACAATTAAATGTTTAAATATGAGTATTTCCCTAGATATAATTTTAAATAGGCAAATGTTTTGCCTTTAGATATTAGCTGTGAAAATGTTTATATAAAAATCATCTTGTTGGAATCTTGTCTCCATTCAAAAATCCTTATTTCATGAGTATTAATAAAATTTTTGATTAACTTACTCTTGAAATAATTTGCTAGTGCTCCAACATAACATTTTCCATCATGTAATCAATGCCTTGAGAAGTTTTCAGAGCTAAGTTTGAAAATCTATTAGAACATTAAAAACAGAGGTGCCTGGGTGGCTCAGTGGGTTAAAGCCTCTGCCTTTGGCTCAGGTCATGATCTCAGGGTCCTGGGATCGAGCCCCGCATCAGGCTCTCTGCTCAGCAGGGAGCCTGCTTCTTCCTCTCTCTTTGCCTGCCTCTCTGCCTACTTGTGATCTCTTGTCTGTCAAATAAATAAATAAAAATCTTAAAAAAAAAAAAAGAACATTAAAAACATCACTGTGTCAATATTTGAAGTCTACTAAAGCTTGGAGCAGAGTGATTAAAATATAATATTGATTTTTAAGAAGTATATAACATTACGTTTAGATGAAATGATATCCCTACACTGCAAATACATCTTTGCAACAATGGTAAAACTTTATATTTTAAAAAAGAATGGAATATGAGTTTTTCTTGTAACTCTTATCAGACTATCAAGTTTTAAATAATTCTAGAGCTCAGGTGATACTAAAGAAGATACGTGAGGCTTTTAGAATATATAATTTACTATAAATGTAAAATGTATAGATTATCAAAGATAAAAAATAATGTATTTGAAAAGTTAATATTTCCATCTATATTTCCATCTTATCTTTTCTTATTTGGTATTTAAAATCAGGTTTGAAGGGAGGTATTAGAACTCTTGTTTTTTTTTTTTAAGATTTATTTATTTATTTGACAGAGAGAGAGATCACAAGTAGGCAGAGAGGCAGGCAGAGAGAGACGGAGAAGCAGGCTCCCCGCAGAGCAGAGAGCCTGATTCCGGGCTCTATCCCAGGACCCTGAGATCATGACCTCAGCCAAAGGCAGAGGCTTAACCCACTGAGCCACCCAGGTGCCCCAGAACTCTTGTTATTTTGACCAGTTATTAAATTAGATCTAAAATCCATGTATTATCATACGACAAACACAAATTATTAAACATCATCCAGTCTTTTAATTTTATTCTAGAAAGTGTGATAGTTTTAACCTAGGACTGAAGGCCTTTCGCTGTTCTCTATGGCTACACCTGCAATGACCCATTGCTGGGGCATTTCTTTGGTTGTATGGGATTGCTGGGTAGCACATAATAGCTTTGAAAGTTTCATTTACAGTGTTTCTTTTCTTTTTTTTTTTCTTTTTAAAAAGATTTTACTTATTTATTTGAGAGACAGAGACTGCAAGGAGAGAGAGAGAGCATGAACCAGTGGTGAAGGAGGGAGGAACAAAGCCAGAGGGAGAAGCAGGCTCCCCACTGAGCAGGGAGCCCCATGGGGGCTTGATCGCAGGACGTTGGGATCATTACCTGAGCCGAAGGCAGACACTTAACTGACTGAGCACTGTGTTTCTAAATTCATGGTCATATTAACTCTATATTGTCAAGTAAACATAAGCTAGATCTATATGCCCACTTATTTTTTAATTGTATAGTTCCACTCTGCTCCAGCTTATTATGGATTTTTCAAGCATATGAAAAGTTTCAAAGCATATTTACAGTGAATAGCCATATACCCACCACTTAGGTATTCAACTGAAGTTATTATATTTGTTTTATCAAATATCTATCCATCTACCGATCCCTTTCTCCATCTATCAATCCATCATATTTTCAATGCATTCCAAAGAAGTGACAGGAATCATTTTACCCCAAATATGTTAGCATGGTATCATCTAGACACAGGGCCTGTGGGTCATTTTCCTGTTTTTGTAAATAAAGTTTTATTGCAACACAGCCCCACCTACTCATTCACAAAGTGCCTGTGTCTGCTTTCGTGCTACAGCCTTGCATTTGAGTGTTTGTGACAGACCGTATGGTCCACAGAACCTAAACTATTTGGCCTTTTAAGAAAAAGTGTGTTTGCCCCTTTAGAATTCAATATTCGTTACAATTATTATTTTTTTAAATTTTAAGGTAATGTCTGAGTCACATGAAAACACCAATCATAAGTGTACTATTTGATAAGTTCTGACAAATGCATTTACCTGTGCAACCTGAACGCTTAACAAAATCTAGAACATTATCTTCACTCCAGAGAGTTCACTCATACAACTTCCTAACCCATCCTTGCTCCCACCCTCCACTCCCAAGGCAATCACCATTTCAATTTCTTCCCCCTTGGGTTTGTCTTGCCTATTCTGAAACTTCATGTACATGAACACATACAGTATATACCCCTGGTGCAAGACTTTGTTCACTTAGCATAATGCTGCAGACTCTTCCATGTTGTAGCATGTATCATGAGTTCTTTCCTTTTTATTGCTGAGTAGCATGCAATTGGCTGAGTTTACCCATCCATTCTATTGATGGACACCTGTGTTTTTTTCCTGTTACGAAATTTCGTGAAGAAAACTGCTATAAACATTCCTATATAAATAAGTTTTTTTTGCCTTGAGATACTGTGTCAATGAATGTCCAGTTTTATGAGAACTGCCAGAGCTTTTTCTAAGATGTTTATAATTTGTTTTGTTTAAGTGGAGGCTTAACTTGTTTAGACTCAAATGGAAAACTCTGTTTTGTTTGTTGTGGGCAGAAGTTCAGCTATC